AATAATCTACCAATTTTATATTTATATCAAAAATTGATTTTTTACTCAATAAATTTAGACAAATAAAAAGATTAATAATAGAATAATTATTTTAGTACTTAAAATTCATATATTATATAATTTTAATATATTTTTATAAATTATTAATTGATATTTTAATTTACACTAAATAATAACATATTTATTATTTATAAAAATAAAAAATTTGTTTAAAAAATATTCAAGTATATAATATTATATTGAATCTATTAAATACAGTAGTTTAAATTTATATAAAAAATCATTTATTATTTTAGAAAMATTATTGAAATAAAAGTGTTAATAATGGAATAATCATTTTAGTAATTAAAAATTATGAATTTGCAACATTATATGCTTTTAAAATTTTTAATATATACATATGAAATATTTTAAGTTAACATTATATATTTATATATTTTATAATTTATCAATTGATATTTTGATTTACATTTTATAATAACATATTTATTATTTACAAATATAAATATATTGTTTAACAAACATTTCAAAATTTAATGTATGGTTGACTTCTTTTCTATTAATGTTGAAAAGTAAAAATATTAAAATGGAAAATAATTAATATAGTAATTAAAATATAATAGCATTTGTTTGTATCTTGGAATTAAATAGAATGTAATATAATAATGGTTTTATGCATGCATTAATTTGTAAAGATCTATATAATATGAATCATAGACTCCTGATTGRTGGATTATCAACAAAGTTGTATGATATCTATGCATCACATAATATTAATTGTAATATATTCCTTTATATATACCATTAAAATATACATTTTGTATGTTTTATATCTTATTTGTAGCTATTTTAACCTTAAAGCTAGCGTAGTTGGTGTATTTACGAAATTTGTATTTATTTTTATAGCGTATCCATATGTTTTAATATTGTTCGTTTGTATCCATGTGTTTCTAAAGCGTATCCATATCCAAGTTATCCGTTACGATACCTGATACCGATACTTTGGTCCTTGGTCAAAAGTATATTTCAATACTTTTGGGTTTTGACGCAGTCTAATTTAACTAAATCAATTTTTTTGTTGAGCAAAATATAAAAATATCTTTTTGACCATTTCCTAGGTCAAGCTTCGAGCTTTATATGATGGCCAGGCTTAGGTTCAAGATCTAGGCTTGATGGTCAAGCTACGTTCAARCTTGAGCCTGAACATGTTCTATTAATAAAAAGGCAAAGCCCAAYCCAAACCCGGCCAATCTGGCCTATGAATAGGTTTGTGCTCAATGTAGCTGATGTGAGAATCTAGTGAATTATGATGAAAACTACTTGTTTGCTTACCACTTTTATAACATTGGTTGCAATGGATTGATTAATCCTATAAGTTTTTGTTTAGGTAGATTAGAGATTACTATCTTGTACTTTAGGGGTAGTGGAAATTACCCTCCTGAACTTTCATTTGAGAGAAATACCCCCTACACGTTTGGATTATAACAAAGACCCCCTCCATTATCATTTCATTAGTTAACTTTGAAAAGATTCTCATATGATTCTTTAAACTTCTAAATCCCCAAATTATCATTTTCCAACAACTTTCTTAGTGTTTTTCATTTCCATTTCCATTAACAATATTGTGTTCGTTGCAATTATTCGAGGTTCCTATATAAGGTCTCTTTGTTTTTCTGTTGTAATTTCCATAAGTTTCTTAGAATGATATTTTCATAAATTAACTTATATCACTCAACTTTTCGGTAAGAATCTAAAAAGTTCATGTAATTGCCACCGCCATCCCAGGTAGTAATATGTAAATGGTATTATAGAGTAAGTTTTGTTTGATAAAAATAAGGGTCCATTTGGTTTATTGTCAGAATTGGAATCCTTCAAAATCGGAATTAGAATCAAAATGGTTTATTCCCTTTACCTATTTGGTTCATTCTACAATCAAAATCAAAATCAGAATTGGCTGGAATAAATTTTYATTCCCAGGGCCAGAGGAGGGGGACAATAGAAGTGTAAAGTAGGCCGTACCGGGCCGGCACGGCACGGCTCGTGGGCAGCCCACCCTAAAGGCAAGCCATGCCGTGCTGGCCCACGGGCTGCCACGGGCTGTGCCATCCTCCCCAATGGAAATTTTGGGGGTTGGCCTAGCATGACCCACAGCCCAGGCCCAAGCAGGCCCATGCCATGCCGTGCTAGCACGTGGGCCTGGGCTGGGCAGGGCTACAGGCCATGCCGAGCTAGGCCATAGGGCAGGCCTTGGGCCTAGGCCRAATCGGGCTGCACTATTTTTTTATTTTTTATTTTTTTTAAATTTTGATTTCTTTTCTAAGTAAAATTGTAAAACTAAAATATTTTAACTTTCCTATGAACTTTGGGAATTAGGAACTATTTAAAATTTAAGAAATGGGAAATATAAGTTATTTAATACATAAATGAAAAAAAATACTTAACCAAATGAAAATGAGAATGATGGAATAACAAATTGAAAGAAACATAAGAATTTTATTTCATTTAAATTTGAATGGTGCAAATTAGTGAATTACAAATACAATGATTGGATCATTGCATACTTGGATGAAGGTAATATAAAAATGAAATAAATTAATAAAATATAAAAAATACAATATGGTTATAAATTGAAAATACAAAATTACATTGTTAAAAAATTAAAAAAATATATATCAAATAAATTAAATAAAATTTAAAAATTTTACAATAATTTGAAAAAATGAAAAATTCTACCAGTAGTCAAATTCATGAATCATCATTCATGGCTTTCATCATCTGCTTCGGGTGAAATGTCTGGTGTTGTATCATGCCCTCCCTTGTCTTGTAAACTATTTTCTACATCTAGCCAATCCTTGAAGTAGATGCACATCTCTATGCTCTCATCATTCTTGCTGGTTCTTTTATCATCTACCACCCTGGTACCTGCACTAAAACAAGACTTCAATGGAATTGTAGACACCGGAGGGGTTAGTAGATCATGTTCCATGGCGGTAAGAACCAGATAATTTTTGTGTTCACTCCACCAGGATAAAATATCAAAATTATTGATATTTCACCTAAATTAGAAAAATTTGCTTGCAAATAAAAATTAAGTTCAGTAAATGAACTTGTTGTAGAACTAGCAGATTTCTGCCTTCAACTTATTAAATAAAAAATTTTTTTCTCTTCTACTACTGGGCTCAAGGTCAGAAGTAGAAGAAGAAGATGAACAAGTTGTAGGAATATTTCCTACAACTTCAGATTCATACAAACTATACATTTCAAATAATAAATTATTAATTTCTTTTTTTTATTTCCTATATCAATATTCATATTTTCATAATATGTTTCAAGTAAAATATCTAAACCATCTTTCCTAATCCTAGGGTCTAATATTGTAGATAAACAATAAAGAGGAGAAATGTTCTCCCAATATTTTTTAAATTTATTTTCCATAATTTCAACAATACATTTAAATTATGGATTATTTCTATATTTAGCAAAACAATCACTAATTACAATTAATTGATATGGTAAATTACAACTAGTTGGATAATAAATTCCAAATAATTCATTTTTTGCATCATAAAAATGTTTTAAAAATCTCTTATATAGGCTACAATTTCCYAGTCTTCCTCAAATATCATATCATTAGGCATTTTTRAATTATAAAAATCAGAAAGAATTTGTTTATGAGATATACAACTTTCTAACATAGCATAGGTAGAATTCCACCTATGCTTTATATCTAATATAAAATGTTTATATTTTAAACCATAATTTTGGCATAAATMTTTAAATTCTTGTTTTCTTGCCCCTGAACTTTATATATATAATACAATTTCTAATTTTTAAAATATGAGTAGAAATAATATTCAAGGCATCTTGAATACTTAAATTTAAGATGTGACATGCACATTTAATGTGAAATAATTTACCATTTAAGCATAGTTTTAATTGAGATTTTAAAATATTTATTGTAGAATCATTATTGCTGGCATTATCAAAACTAATAGAAATCATAAGCATGCAAAGTATTTAAAATACTTGCAGCAATAGTTGGGCCACTATGTGGCCATTCAAGCCTAGTAAAAATTAAAATTCTTTTATTCAAAAGCCAATTTTCATCAATGAAATGGCCGGTAACACAAATATAACTAATATTAAATTTGGATGTCCAAATATCCGAAGTAATTGCAACTTTAGAATTAAGATTTGCTGACAAAGAAATTAAATTTTGTTTATATGAATAAAAAAATTTTATAGCATTAGTTCTTATAGTATTCCTAGAAACTTTTTATATTGTGGATTTACAGAACTACGCAACCATTTTTCTAGCTTTGGATTTTCAGCTAACATAAATGGTTGTTTTGCATGTACAATATACTTTGCAAGTTCTTGTCTCTTTTTTTCTTGTGAATATCTAAAAGTACCAAACTAGTCCCCCTCCCAATCAGTGTTTGGGTTGTTTCTCTCCCTTCATCTTCCTCTTGCTCATGTGTAAGTAGATGTCTGCTCAAATGACCCGTACCACCCTTACTACAATAACTAAAGTCTTTCTTACATGTTTGGCAAATGGCCCTTTTCCCCTTCCCCTCAATATCCTTTACTTTGAAAATTTTYCAAACCGGGCTATTCAGCTTAGAAGCCCTCCTTTTTCCTATAGTACTACTTACTACTGGGGGTGAGAGTTTCACTTCCATCGACATCAGTGCTAACACTAATGACTATATTTCTGAGCGGGCTGAGCGTGGCCTGTTACAGGCCCGGTGGGCTGTGCTTTGTGTCGTGCCGCGGGCTAGGCCGTGCCATGCTGGCCCATGGGCCTCAAACCCCCGGCCCAGCACGGCATGGACCTCCGTGCCGGGCCTGGCACGGCCCGGTCCGATTTATACCTCTAAGGGGGGAGTGACCTATGGGAGAATGCCGTAATGCCATTCCATCAGGRATGGGATTCCAATTCCGTCAATCAGACCCCTATTCCCGCAAACCAAACGAATCCTTAGTTTTCCCGGTACCATGTCTTTCAAGTCCGACTCGCGATGGCTCGCCAAGTTTTGCCAACGCGGTACCAATATTGCAGCGCTGCAGTGGTTGGTGGGCGACACTTTGTGACGAGAGCACTCTGTCTCACTGTAAACCCCTTTCTGCTCTCTGTTCGTTCGGCCACTTCACAGTCTCACTGTAAACCCTTTCTGTTCGTTCGGCAAGTTCAGCGCACAAGATAAAACAGAGGAAATGGCGCTAAAGCAGGCAGAATTAAATCCTGGGGAATCCAATCTCCTTCTTCAGAACTGAAACGTAGTTTTACAGTGAGTAACTCATTCAATGAGGGCCGTCAACTTCCCATCTTTTGTTTCTTCTACATTTCTTCGTTGCCCTCGTTTGCATGGACTGGAAAGGATTTCGGTGTCCTCCCTTCTCTGCCATATCCGACAGGTTTGAACGTCTATATCATGTTCTATTTTTTTTCCACTTTCGAATTTCTCTCTCGTGGGTTTTTGGTATTGCTTATTGGTTTTTGTGTTCCAGTTCTGCTTCTGTTTTTTACGGTGGTCAATTGACTGTTTGATAATCAGGGGCTTGGACTGTTCCTTGTCTCTGATGATAATTACCAACAGAGTAATTTCAAGTTTCTCCCCTAATTTTTGTATCGAATAATCTTCTTAGGAAAGTAGAGATTATTGGTGATAGAAAGGCTGAAAGCAATTTGAAAATCTGCTGCAATCTAGAGTAATGACATGGAAGATCGTTCAGTCAGCAGTTAATGGAACATTTTTTTTTTTAAATATGATTAGAGGTTAGAAGGAATCAAATTGCAGTACAAAAGGTTTGGAAAAGCAGAACTCAATCATGGACATAATTATTTTAAATATGAATAATTTAGGAGAACCGTGGCTCCCTAAGTAACAGGTCAGATCCTTCTCATTCTAATACCACAAAAAAAAAAAAATGATCCTGCTCATTCAGCAAATATTCAACAATTTGAAATTCTGGATATCCTTCCTTTCCTTAGCTTTCCTACATTTCCCTTCTAAAGCAGTGGTGAAAAATATTCAACTTCAGCTTGCATTGTTAGCAATTAAAAATTTAACTGGTTGAAACTGGAATAATAGAGGGTGCTCACTCCAAGGTCCTATAAACCTCAAAAATTCAAATCGCCCACTCTAGAATGTTCCTAGCAAGTTAAAAATACCTGTGAATGAGAATAGATTCCACTTAATAATGCTGAACAAACAATATCTTTGATTATTCTTGATTTTTGGGAAGAAGCTTCAAGACATATTGAGATTTTAGACCAACTAACTTTCAATTTTATTCTCCATAAATTATCTAAAACTAGACAAACTGTGATAAGTTCATCAGTTTCTTTAATACTCCACCAATTATTAACAGATAGACTAGGAACTTACACCCCAAAGCATTGTGGGGCTAGCCCAAAACAAGTTGGCACTAAAATTAGAGAGGGACAAGTGGTGGGCATTTGCTCCTTGATTCACCGAAACTTATTCTGTCACTTCCTACCTCCATTGAAATTTGTTGATGTCTCGATCTTTCATAGATTTTCAGCAAAAATCTCTAGAATACCTTCCTAGAAATCAAAAGAAATTCTGAAAAGTTATCCAAGAATCTAATAAAATAACCAATCCAAGAATGAAGGTACTATTCATAGTAAATCTTAGACTTACCATAAATAGTAAAATCTCATAATTACAATTTATAGTTAAATTGTGATGTGCTATTTATATTAAAAAGATATGCTAGTAGGAATACAATAGAAAGCTGATATTGGGAGTTGATCAAACTAATGAGATGACAAAAATCCTAAAATGTCAGTTGATAAACAAAAAACTGGGTTAAAGAAGACAAAATGGTAGCAGAAGAAAGAATAGATTCTCAAGACACATAAAGAATCTAATAAAATGTCTTCATCATCTTTAGAGACTTCCTCTGGTTGCTTTGGTGCCATTTTGTTGAGAATATGAATAAGGAAAAGGAGAAGAGAAAAGAAGAGGAGAGAACAAGGAGGGGGAGAAGGATAAGAAAAAATTAGAACTGGAGAAGGATGACTCTGATTTGGTGGAAGACAGACAAGTAACTTGTAGGCTTGAAGGAGAACCTATAGGGGGACAACAACAGGTGGAAGAGGATCAAGTGAAGATCATAGCTAACAAATTGGGGCTTAACATTGAGAAATCCAAGGAGATACCAAATAAAAAAATTACAAGGAAAACTGGGGGTGGAAAAAGAAAGAAAAAATTGAATGAAGTGGAAAAACTAATTAATGATGTTGAAGGGGACAAAGAATTCAGTGCTAGAGGGTGGAGAAGAAAGGGAGGTCTTTAGGAAAGAGGGCTTCGGGGTTTTTAAAATAAGTGTAGTGAAAATTATTAGTTGGAATGTCAAGGGTCTAGGAAGTGCTACAAAAAGAAGAATGATCAGCATAGTTGTCAAGGTGACGCAGATGATAAAAAAAAAAGGTTGTCAAGCCAACTAGGCGCTTTTCAAAGAATGCCTCGCCCAAACGCCAACTATGTTAGGCACATGCTTAGGGGGCTGAAGCAAATATATACTATATAAATATTTATTAAATAAAAAATAAAAAACATATAATATTTTATTGGTTGTTTTAGTTTTTATAATAGAACCTATTGCATGTTATCATGCTTTTGTTTTGAGGAAAGTAAAAACAAAAGTAATCTTCGAGGGTTTCACTTTGACAATAGAACATTGACAATAGAATCGAACTGAGGAAGAGGAGAGAACAATAGCCYTCCATCGTTCCCACACAGTCCTCTAAAGTCAAGGTGAGTTAGTTTTGTTCTCTGTTTCCTGGTTTAAAACAGTAGTTATGCTCCATTTTTCTCTTCCTTTTTGTATCTTTTGTCCAAGTTTTTGAATCATTTCATTGGACTAAAACAGGGGCTCTGCCCCCTTCTTTTGTTCTTAAATTTCCTGCTTGTTTTCAGCTTTTTTTTTTTTTTTCTCATTATTGGTGTCTGAAACAGGGGCATAACAGGGGCTCCGCCCCTTCTTTTATTCTTCATATATTTCTTTTATTTTAGTATTTTTTTCACCAGATTTTCTGGGTCTAGAACAGGGGCTCTGCCCCCTTCTCTTGTTCTTAATTTCTTGCATTTTTTTTCAGCTTTTTTATTGTTCTCATCATTTGTTTCTGAAATAGGGGCTCTTTCAAGTTCTAACTTCTAACTTGTAAGTTGCGACTCTAATATATTGTTTTGCCTACTTGAAACAACACTGCAAGAAATACAAGTACAAAAGTAAGTGCAGAATATGTAAAACCAAAAAAACTAGTTCAAAAGGGGTAGAAATCCATCAGCAAGCCTTATTTTTAAATTCCATTGCGTAGGTGAGGGCTAGGCGCCTGGGCGCCCCATGATCGCCTAGCCTCACCTTGGCGTCTTGAAAACTATGATGATCAGGGAACTGTTGAAGAAAGAAAAGCCAAACATAGTTATGATTCAGGAATCTAGGGTTTAGGAGGTTGATAGGAAGTGGATTAGGAGTTTTTGGGGAGAAAGAAGATGTCAATGGAGCTTTGCACCAGCCTGGGGTGCATTAGGTGGAATAATAGCAGTCTGGAAGGAAGATATGTTTTGTTCTGAAGAGCTAGTGGGAAGTTTTTCTGTCTCGATAAAGTTGAAAAACAATCAGGATGGATTTGATTGGGTCCTTACCAATGTTTATGGACCAAATTCTTGTAGAGAAAGGAATGTGTTGTGGGAAGAATTAGCAGATATTAGAGGCTTATGGGTGGCCTTTGGTGTTTAGGAGGTGATTATAATGTGATCAGATTTGTGGGTGAATCAACTGGAGGAAGACAGAGGGTCACTTCAAGTATGTGGAAATTTAACAATTTTATAGGGGCCTTTGAATTAATAGATATCCCACTAGGGCAGTCTTGTTTTACTTGGTCCAATAAGGTTAATCCTATTTGTTCCAGACTGGATAGATTTTTTTTTTTGTCTCCTGACTACGAAGAACATTGGGTTGGTCTTAAGGGGAAGTCTCTACCCAAAATCACATCAGATCATTGGCCAATCTGTTTGTTCTAGAGGTCTAGTGAGGGGGCCCTATTCCTTTTAGGTTTGAGAACATGTGTCTCACCCACCCAGAGAGTGGTGGGTTTCCCAAAGTCCACAACCTATTTGGGATGGACAAAAGTTTTTGAGGAAATTACAAAGGCTGAAAGGGGAGATTAAAGAGTGGAGGATCTTGAAAGAGAAAGAAGATGGTCTCTAAAGGAGTTAGAGGATCTTTTGTTGAGAGAGGCGATTAGTTGGAAGCAAAAGTCAAGGGAGAAATGGATTAAGGAGGGTGATGGAAACACAAAGTTTTTCCTTTTCTAACTGCAATGGGAAGGTCAAGGTCAGACTGTGAGACATTAGGCTCAATACTAGTAGGAGAAGGAAGTTCAGGGTTGCTTTCAGAATTACCTGGAACTGGGTGATTAGATTGTTGTGGACATTCAGCCTTAGGAGTATTCTGCACCTTATAAACCACTGTTGCCAGGATTGCTGGAGAGAAACAGGGAGAGGAGGAGGTGGAGCATGAACACTGTTACTACAAGAGGGAGATGAACCAGGAATGTCCATAGAAGGAGGAACAAGAAAACAAAAAGGAGTCCGATCTTCACAAACACTCTTCCCTTGAAGAGAAGGATGAGTGGACTGAAAATATGGAGTAGACTCAAGGAATGTAACATCCCTAGATACATACCTTCGTCCAAGGTGGGGATCGAAGCACTTGTACCCCTTTTGGACTAAAGAGTAGCCCAAAAATATGCACTTGATAGATATAGGGTTAAGTTTCAGGCAAGGACTCATGCCATGAACAAAGCAGCTACAAACAAAGACTCTGAGAAGAAGATTGAAAATAGGATCCTTAGGAAACAAAAGTTGATAAGGGGATTGAAGAGAAAGGGATCATGAAGGAGGYTTATTAATTAGATATACTGCTGCTTCAACTGCATCTCCCCAAAATCGAGTTGGTACATCTGGAAGAGTAGGCCTCTAGCCACTTCAACAACATGTTTGTTTTTCCTCTTTGCTATACCATTTTGTTGCGGAGTATGAGAACATGAGCTTTGATGAATTGCTCCCTTTTCTTCAAGGAAGAATAGCAGATGCTTTTCAAAATACTCCTTAGCATTGTTAGACCGTAGTATCTTGATGTGCTTTTCAAATTGTTTTTCCACCATCTTGAAGAAGTTTTGAACAATGGTAGGAACTTCATCTCTACTCTTCATCAGGTATAGCCAAGTATATTTATAGTCATCAATGAACAATATAAAATATTTATAGCCGCCCATACAAGGAATAGAGTATGGGCCCTAAACATCAGTGTGTATCAAATTGAAAGCAATACCACTCCTATTACTTTGTTTTTGATAAGCAAAAGAGAATTTTATTTGAAATTAGGGTTAAAATAAGGTTTTACAACTTTGTGTATGGGATTAATGCTCCCACACTATTACAAATTTCTGTCTCACTTTACATTACAACCCAAAACAATTGTTGCCTCAAAGCCCCTTGTTTAGCAAGATAATCAGCTAGCCCATTTGCACTCCTTCTAACTCATTTGAATTCAGCCTCTACCTCCCTTGCAACCTTTTCCACTTCCCTTATCACTTGTTTGAAGGTCCATAGAATACTTCTATTATTTTTAGCCCAAGAAATGATCACCTTGGAATCCCCTTCAACCTCAATATGCCTCATTCCTAGTTGCTTAGCTATTTTCAGCCCTTGTAGCAATGCCATTAACTCAACTTTTAGAGAGTTGCCCATGCCAGTCGGTCTAGAAAACAAAGGTAATATTCTCCTTTTAGAGTACCACTCCTTCTATTACTTGCAAGATATATAGTTCTACATTGTTTTGAGAGATGACAGACTTTACGTTGCATACCCAAACTAGACACAGGCTGACACAAGTTTGGAAACTTAATGGACTTAAAAGACACATGACCGAGGCGACAATTCCATAACTTCAAAAGACTCAAATTTTCATCTTGATTTGACTCAGGGAAAGATCATGAGTAAGATTAACTTCCCCTAGACCAAAGATTGGGGTTTGAGATCTATTAGCTACAGTGATTTTTCCTTCTCCTGGAGCCAATTTATAAGAGGTAAAGTGGGAAGGCATACCGGTTATATGTGCACTAGCTCCAAAGTCCACAATCCAAGAGCTATAGTAGAAGATTGACAAGTGTAGTACCTATTTTTGCAAAAGCATTGGAAGGATTACTAGAACCATAGAGGCAGAGGGCCCAAACTTCTCAAGTTGAGTCAATAGAATCTTGAGCTTCTTCGTCACATAAGAGGAATCATGTGTGGGAGCCTGTGCATTAGGAGGGCATTCAGCTCCAAAAGTAGCAAGATGAGGATTACCCTTCTTTGTTGTTTTAAACTTGTTAGGCTTCAAATGTGGATTCACTTTCCAACACCTGTCCTTCATATGTTTCAACCTCTTGTAGTAATCACATACCACATCATCTCGGCTTTTCATTAGTACCATGTCTGTTTGTACTCGGCTTAGACCTTGAGGACATGTAGGCAGAATGATCCATCATTGACGAGTAAAATCATACTACTATTCAATCCATCCAAGAAGTCAAACACTCGGTTCTTCTCAATATACTTCCGATACTGCTCACTGTTGTCAAGGCAAGTTCTCCAAATGGCTACTGTCCTCTCCCCCTGACGCATATTATAGGTTTTCCTTCGGAGTTGATAGACTTGAACTATATTTTTTGCCTAATTGTATGTGGTTGTGACATGATCCCAAATATCCTTGACAATGGAGAGGAACATGTAATTGTGGGCAATATGTGGCTGCATTAAACACACTAACCATGACATAACGAAGGAATTATCCTGTTCCCATCTAGTAAGTTTGGGGTCATTAGCTTTTGGTTTCCCYTCTCTACCAGTAATAAATCCCAGCTTACCCCTATCTTCGATAGTAAACTTGGCTGATTGAGACCACACTAGGAAGATGGTTCCATCAAGTTTTATAGTGGTTATCATACCACTAGAGTCGTCAACATTACCCGGAAGCACTCTGGAAACAGTTTGTAACTCCTTAGGCAAATTCATTTGAGTTGAGTAGGCCTTTTAATAGTTCTATAGCACTCCAACAACCAACCGACACACACAGGACCCACAAAAAATGGGAAACACTTGGTTGGAGTCCAATGGGAGGCCCAAAACTGATTTGCCAGCAATATATGAGGGAAAAAAGACCTCTTGAAGAAAGATTAGAGGTCAAAAAAATGTGGAACCACTTCCCATACCGTTAACGAACAAGGTTCAAGCATGCATTGAACTCAGACAAGGAGGGAAAAATCCAAACACTGAACCAGTAATTTTCTGTAATTTCTGATTGTAAAACCTGGGAAAAATCGTAGACACATCAAGGAGTTCAAAGAGCAAGGGAACTAAATATCAGTTGGCTGATATTGGAAGGCGATTTAAAGGTGGTGATTAGCAGGTTGAAGAAAGAGGACAGTGGTTTGTGGAGCTACAATAATGAAAAGAAAAAATTTTTATGGCTGTGTAGGTGCATTGAGATACAATACAGCTGGGTGAAGAGGACCGCTAATTCTTTTGCAGATGGGTTGGCCAAGCAAGGGGTGAATAGGGAGTCTATCTTTTGGGCTATTTTTTAATTTCCTTTCATTGTAATTTGCTAATGGGGAGCTAAGGCTTTTTATCTCCCCCTTATTGTATCTAAAGCCTCATAAATTTTCTCTTAATTAATAAAGTCTGTTATTGATAAAAAAAAAGAACCATACCAAAATAACCCTAACATCAAGGTGTACCGGAGTAGATCAGTTTCAAGGGTTGCTGCTGCTACCTGTATGAACTGCTGATGTCATCCGGCGGTGGTCTGACATCAGCAGGTCTCCTTGAGTTTGGGAGTTAACAGAGAAATCTAGTCCAAGATTTCTTCCCACTCTGATACCAAGTTGTCGAGTGTAGGAAGAAGTTATGAGAGAGGGTGTGTGTTACTGTTACACCCAAAACATTTCATTATATACTCAGATAGAAATTATAGCCATGTCCCTATAAGGGCACCCAAAATACAAATAATTGAAAAGACAAAAATAACCCTAAGCCAAATGCATATTCTCAACATAGTTAACTCATTAATATTTTTTTTGATCAATGATGTGGTTGATTTGTTAAAAATTCGGCCTACTGATTGAGTTTTCAAGGCATGGTTTGACTTTTTCTATCAGATGCTCCAATTTTTCATGTTTGTTGTTTGTAATTGAGGAATTGTGGTGTGATACCCTCTCTCTCTCTCTCTCTTAATTAACAGTTCATCTGGTGGATTGATCAAAACTTACAAGTTCTGGTTTGTGTCATTTCTGTTTTATCTTTTCACAGTAGTTGGTTTATTTTATAATATTGCTCTTAATTTGCATTTCAGAATGAGAGAAGTCATCTGGTGGATTCCATGGAGATGCATACCAGTAACCTTTCTTCTGTAGGTAACAATCGAATTAGCAATTTTCTGTAGTGTTCATATTGTTCTTTTTTTCTACTTTCCACCTTCGTAACCCTTGATTGATTTTATGACTAGAAGGTGATTATTCTAATTTATTAAAGCACCTTCATAACCCTTCAGTCAGAGACATATTGTTGGTTTTGGAATATATTTTAATTAGCTTGGCGTTTGGATCTTTCGTTTGGTAAGTTTGAGAATCACTCTTATCTCCATTAAATAGATTTTCTTTTTTATTTACTACAAAAAAAAACTCAAATATACCATGAAATGGTTCCCTTCTATAATTAGATTTTGGAGCCAGTGGAACTGCATATTAATGCCATTTAGTGCAAGAGTGATTCTCAAACCATATGCAATTTCAACATGGTCTCTTTCTTTATTAAGCCTATTACTTATCTTAAAGGCTTAAAACCATCCGTTTCCTTTGACAAGTTGTTTTCTAGCCTGCTTTCAAAAAAAAAAAAAAAAAAAAAGAACTTACTGGTGTTATAGCAGTTGGTGGTTGTATCATAAATGCCTTTTGGTCTAACATATACAAAAGTGCTATCTTTGTTTCAGTTGAATTTTCTGAGTATGGATGTGATGAACCTCATGATGATGACAAAGCAATGGAGAAGGATGCTGCATTACGTTCAGCTCTCTTTCGGCTTGCTGGCGATTTTGATAAAGAATCTATGTTGTCAATGCAGCGCTTTTTTGGTTCACGATATGCACCAACCATATCTACAGGTTCTTTAAAGCTTGATTTGGCTCTTGGGATTGGAGGATTGCCAAAGGTATTAGCTGGCAAGATCAAATGCTTAGAATTCTTATTATACGTGTATCTGTTAATCTTTTATCCAATTTGTCTTTAATATCTATTATTTCATGGAGTTTCTTTATCTATATAGTATAATTGTCTATTTTGTTTCTAATACAGTTTCTTGCCAAATGGTGTATTTTATCCATAAAAATGTGTATTATATTTGTATACAGTTTCTTGTCTTTAATGCGATTTAGGAATTCCATGTGGGAATTTATGCATCTTTTCTATATCTTTTTCTTTTCCCTTTTTGCTTTCTTTTCCTATAGGACATGATTCTTAAATATATAGTCAAACCAGTGTGCACAATATTATTAAAAGAGCATTTAAAAGTTGTACTTAGCCAGATAGTTCTCCCTCATCTCTTATGAAAATAATTTCCTCTTGCATGAGCAAACTTGGGTCCTTACATTGGGTGAAACAATTCCCTCAGTTTTGTGCTCCTTTTCCACCCACCTTAGCWATAAAGGGGACTTCTTATTCAGTATTTCCTATATGAGCAATTCCTCTTGTCATTGCTAAAGTCTTTGATTTTTTTTTTCTTTTTCTGTGAAGGTAAGGTATTGTATTAATTATGTAAACAAAATGAGATGCATCTTTAAGCCTCGTACATCCCATGAGCACGTCTATACACCTTGTTAGCAAGAAATTAACAAGAAAGAAGGATATCTCTATCAAAAGATCTATCAATGCCCAACCCCCTGAAATCCTCATGAACAGCTAACCAAGAACAAAGCCTTTCTTTAATCCTGTTCAGCAACACATCACTTTCAGCATAATTGTTTTCAAAAAGACAAATTCTCCTTTTCTCCCATATGGTCCAAAAAAAAACAGCCGTGGAGGTATTGTAATATAGAGTTAGATGCTGTAGGGTAGAATTGTCATTTTGTTTTATGTTCTGTTTTTAACGATCTCACTGTAATACTAACACTAATGAGGGCACCACCAGCCATCTTTTTGAGCTCTAAACATTTGAACCATTCTTCTCTTGTTTCTTTTCTCTCTTCTGTCCTTGTCCTCTACTTATTTTTTCATTGGATTATATGGTATCAGAGCAGGAATGTTGACCAGATTCACCTTCTTTCTATTTTCTATTCCTGATTGCCTCTGTTTTTGATTGGGAAGAACTTTTCAAAAAGCCCAGGTTGGTCTGAAGCCCTTTTCTCTTTCTTTAATTCTTTATTGTTCCTTGATCCTGGGGCCAAGAGAATTGTTCTTTGAGGTGATCAGTGGGTGTTGATGGAGGTTTAAAGGTTCTTTCAAAACTTCCTATGTTCTTTGTGGGGATCATATGACCTGTGAGAAGCAGGAGTGCATGCCGACTGCTTGTATGAATGCAAATAAAATTTCTGATTATTGTAAATGTGTGAGAGAGGTCCTGATTTTCTGTGGAGTGTGTTATTTCTCTCTTGAGTTGGTTTTTTAGTTCAAACAGTGGAATACAGGTCTGTCTAGGCATTGGACTTTGAACATCAACTGAAAGACCCTTGTGTGAAGTTATTAGTCACTCCAGAAGTGTTTTTTTTCCTTTTTTTTTTTCCGGTGAGAAAGTGCTACTGTCTTAGGTGTTTTTGTAGCTAGCATCAGGTGGGACCTCCTTTTTACAGTGATCAGTCTTCTACAAAATGTCTATACAGGATTCAGCAACATCAGGGGTTACTTCTTCCTCATCCATGGGTGGTGACAGTATGGACAGCTTGAATTTCTCCATTTTCTAAGTTGCATATTACTAGGAGGGGTAAGGCTGATTATCTTATTGTGAAGGTTAAAGAAGAAGCAAAAGAATGTACTGTAGAGTGTTGAGGATTTTTGTGTAGATTTATGAATTAATTTTGTTGATTATTTGTTTAGCATTTTTGTGCCTTATTTAAGTTCTTTATGGAGTTTTGTGTTTAGCTGCCATGTCTGATGACTATCTCATTCTTTTCTCTACTCTTTCTCATCTTCTTCTCTCTTCTCACAAAACCTCTTCTTTTCTTTATCTTTTTCTACATTTTTTTTTTATTTCTGCAGATTTCTACTTGGTATCAGAGTAGGGTTTGAGCTTTTCTTTGTGCTCCCATCATGCATCCATAGATCAGCTGACTGCATGATGTATTAGAGGGCTCATCGAAGACCTCAAAAGTGCCCAATTTTGGGATTTTTTGGGGGGGACCTAGAACCCTTTATAGCAGATCTAGGGTTGATCACCAAAATCAAGAAGAGCTAGAGAAGAGGTAAGAATCCTGATTGCAGTAGGACTCTTCGGGCYTGTTTGTTTGCTCAGAAGTCTGACATCTGAAAATGCAATAATTACATTAAGAGGTATATTGGTATTGGTGGACTTTTCTTTCCTCTGAACTCTGAATGCAGAGAATGTTGTTCTCAATTCTGAATTCTGAATTAAAATGATCAAATATCCGTTTTGATCCCATATATGAGAGCTTTTGTTTTTCTTTTTGGGGGTATCATTGGAAAACAAAAAGTTGTATGGTTGCACTTTAAGAAATAAGAGATAAGAGGAAACGAACACCCATTTTTCTCTTAAAGTCAAAAGGTTCCTCTTAAGAGATAAGAGTTAAGAAGAAACGAACAAGCCCTTCATTATTGACCTGGGAAGGGGTTCTCTAGATTTTTTGGAGTTTTTGGTGAATTTTGAATGGGGCGGTTCAAGTTCCAGTGATTTTTGAGGTCTTTGGAGGGAGTGAAAGCCTTTTCTCTTGTTTCTACCTGCTCCTATGGTGACAAGAATCTTGGTGGGACCGTGGGAAGAGGTTTCTGTGTACCAAAAGGGTGTTTGAGGCCTCTAAAGTAGATAAATTCATTCTTTCTCACTTACAATTGTTTTTCTAATCTATTATGAGAATTATGGAGGGCTGGAGCACTGAGTAGACTTCAACCAGTGACATGGGACTGGGCAGAGCAAGCTTTGGAGAATCTTTTGGACATGGGCTTATTACCACAATTAAGTTAGATGGTACAAACTATCTAGAGTGCGCATAATCAACCAAGATGACTATTGGAGCTCATAGGAAACTAGGATATCTTACTGGGGATGAGAAAAAACCTAATACAGATTCCTCCTAGTGGGTACAAGAGAATTACATGGTGATGTTTTAGTTGTGTAATTCAATGTTACCACAAATTGGTAAGAATTTTTTGTGGACTAATACAACAAAGGAGATTTGGGATGGAGTGATTGAGACCTATTCCCARAAATAGAATGTAGCCAGAGCTTATCAGTTGAGGAACCAGGTGATTAATACAAAATAAGGAGATAAGCCTTTTGCTATGTATTTCTCCATTCTGAAAACACTTTGGCAGGAGATCACTTGGAAATTGTGCTTTGGGAGAGTACGAAGGATGTAACAACCTATCAAAAGTTGGTAGATAAGAATAGGGCCTTTGAGTTCTTGGCTGGATTGAACCAAGAATTTGATATTGCTAGGCAACACATCCTTTCTAGAGAGAGTGCAACTCTTTCTCAAGCTTATGAATTTGTGTTTGGAGAGGAGAGGAGGAATGCCATGTTGAGACAATCTGGAGTTCACTAGTAGAGACACTCATTGAATTGAATCATAAGATAAGTGTAGAAGAGGGTGAGCCTCTTGAAGACAAAGCCATGTACCAACGACTGGTGGGAAAGCTCTAACAACAATAACTTCAAGTACAATTTTTTTCAAAATTCACCTTAAGATTGAACATTTGCTCAAAGAGTTGTATAGCCAATTTCAAGTTTCTAATCCAACTCAAGTTCCCACCTTCACAGAATAAGATTGTATCATTTGCAAATTGCAAGTGGGTAAGTGGTATCTCCTCCCTTCCTATTCTCCACCCTCTTAAAATTTGCAATCAAGGTAAACAAGAAAGGGGAAAGTGGGTCTCCTTGTCTTATTCCACTATTCCATTTACTAACACAGAGTAGTGACAACTCCTAACACATTCCAAGACCCATTTGCACCATCTGTCCCCAAAACCAAAGTTGAACAACACTTCCATCAGAAAGGACCAATCAACCAAGTCATAAGCCTTTTCTAGATCCAGTTTACATACCACTCTTTTTTAGTCTTTTTGAAATTCTCCACACTCTCGTTTGCAATTAAGATTTGATAAAATATCTCTCCCCTTCACAAAATCTCCTTGGTTAGKTGCAACAATAGTAGGGAGGACTTGCTTGATCATGAGAGACAACACATTTGCAATTATCTACTGCTTACCAAGCTAATTTGATCAGAATCTCTGTCTGTCTGTCTACCTGTTCTCTGGGTTTATATCTTTGCAAACCTGTTTTTCTTATTAGTGAAATTCCATACTTTTATCGTTGTCAAAAATATCTATTGTAGTATGCTATTTATTGCTATCAAGGAAATATGATATTCTATTGCATACAATAGGAATCTTATTGTGCCTCAAATTCAATTGTTTTAGTGGCATTTCTTGGCTCAGTATTTCCACGTTACTTGGTCCAATAAAGAATCTAAAGGCTTGTTTATGTTGATCTTGATCTATGAAAAAATGTTGACTTCAGGGAAGAATTGTTGAAATTTATGGACAAGAAGCGTCTGGGAAAACAACCCTTGCTCTTCATATTATCAAAGAAGCTCAAAAGCGAGGAGGTATTTATTTTATTTAACTATAAGTAGTCTCCCTTTCCCTTTTCATATTATTTTTTTTCTCCTGTGAAAAAGAAATGGTTAAGTGTTTGTATTTGTTATTGTGAATTTTAGTTTGACTTTTTCTCGTCTTTGCATCTTCCTTTTCTTCATTAGTTGCTAAAAATTTCTGGTAGATTGAATTGTTTCAGAGCCTCCCTTTGAATTGAACTTGACTTTGATTTTTATGTTTTGGTTAACTACAAATTTTGATTCTTTCATCCTCTTAGCAGCAAGAAGAAAATAAGTGTACCGCCTTCAATCATTATTTGTTTTTAGTGGTACCAATTTGACTTTCTGCCCATAAAGATGTATATATTCCAAATTTCCAGGTGAATGGTCTTCTGATTGAATTCTCATGGTGTGCCTAAAAGAATTCTATTGAATACACCTCACACAAGATTGAATACTTGTTGTTGAACAAGAGAAGAGAAGAGAAAGAGAGGAGAGGCGAGAGGACTGAGAGCCCAAAGAAATACTGCAGGYGTGTGTAGTATATTATTATTTATACTAGGCTGGTCGTACAACATGAAATATGAAGAAATTAGAAAAGTACCCTTGGAATGGTGTAGCCCTTTTGTAAAGATGTYTGCAAGTTGGTTCTCAGAGCTGACATAGGGAGTACATACTTCACCTATGATGACTTTCTCTCTGATAAAATGCTTGTTAACTTTGATGTGCTTTGTTCTATCATGTAGCACTGGGTTAGCAATAATGTTTATAGTTGCTTTGTTATCACAGAATAGAGTTATAGGCTTGTCCACTAGGAAACCCAACTCACTCAACAGATTCTTTATCCACATACCTTCAGCTACCCCGTGAGCCATTGCACGATATTCAGCTTCAGCATTGGATCTAGCCACCACATTTTGTTTTTTACTCCTCCATGTAACAAGGTTCCTTCCTATAAAGGTGTAGTAGCCACTAGTAAACTTTCTGTCACTTTGAGATCCAGCCCAATCTGCATCTATATAAACTTCAACTTTCAAATGCTCGTGCCTTTGAAATAACAAGCCAGCACCAGGAAACTTTTTTAGATATCGGAGGATTCTTTCTGCCACTTCAAGATGAGTGGACCTAGGTGCATGCATGAATTGACTGAGGACACCAACAACATAAGCAATGTCTGGGAAAGTCATAGAAAGATATTCAACTGGCTTCACTCCCATCTTTCCAGTGTCCTAAAACAAATCTAGGACATATTTCCTTTGGGAAATGAAGATACCCCTTTTTGATCGGGCAACTTCAATTCCAAGGAAGTATCTGGGAGGTCCTAGATCCTTCACTTCAAACTGAGTGGCAAGAAACCCTTCAA